CTGCAGCAAAAACTTTGAATAAAGATATCTTAGCAACCACCCGACTAGATTCTATAAAATTTTGTTATTTTGATTTTCAGAAGATTACACAAAATTCGTAAAATTACGGTAATTTTCCATCCCTAGGCCCAATAAACGTGGTCAAGTATGGGCCGGGCTTATAATTCAACAGGCCGGGCCGGGCCTATAATTCAATGGGCCGGGCTGGGCCTATAATTCAATGGGCCGGGCCGGGCCTATAATTCAATGGGCCAGTCCGGGTCAGGTTTGAAATAAATTGGCCGGGCTCATACTCTAAATTTTTTTATTGGGCTAGATCGGGCTAGGCTTTAGAGTAATCCCTGCCCGGCCCATACTCTAAATCTTTTATTGGGCTGGATCTGAACCGGGTTTATAATTTAATGGGCCGGGCTTGGGCCTAGCCCGACCCGGCCCATTCCGAACCCTAGTAGCAACATATTCTAGTAAACATTTATATTTATTATACTAATAAACAATTAGAAAACTTAAATTAACAAATAAACCATTGATTTTGCACACATTTGATATACAGATTCGATTATAACGAACGAGAATGCATGTGAACAAAAAAAAAAGATTACAATGCTTATATATCTTTTACAGAGTAATCAAAATTGGAAGCTGATGAATATGTTCTTCGTGAAGTATAATTGGGCCTTTCACGCTCCGTAGCCTAAGAAGTATTGGAATTAATTGTGATTATGAAGTTGAATATTAGACTGTAATAATAAATAAGAAATATTACCGGTGGACTAATAAATGATTTTAATTCCTCTGAATATAGTGTCAATGTAAAAAAAAACAGTTAGTAAGTGAAAGTAATAATGCATTGCAATACAATAATTTAAAAGTAAATGGTCAGTTGTAATTTGGCAATAAAGTATTTCTTCAGTGAAAAGTCGGAACAGGTCTGAAGTTTATCATCATAATACTATATGTGGACGAGAAAAGATTCGAACTCACCAAGCTTTTCGTCTGATAGCTTTGAGAACTGAATTGGATTGGATTCATTATGATTATCATACAAAACCGTATCAGATGTTGATAATTCTGCGCATTGTTTAGCCATAATTCCAAACTTCTTGGGGTTTTCACGGTAGCTTCATTTACATGATCTAGAAATTAGAGTTTTGAACTGAATGAACAATAAACAAATTGACACTTACGTATCATAAGCAGCCTTGTTTAGGCAATGTTTTTCTGACAACTTATCCAAAACATCCTTTTTGAACGACTTTTTGACGTAATGAAGTACATGAAAAATATAATATTTGTGTGATGCCCAATCTTTAAATTGTTGGGTCAAAGAGAAATTGCCAGTTTCCGGGTGGATGAGTGGGTGAAATAAACCATCATCATTTATTAACTTGGAGATGAAATGCACTGTTGGAGGATATTCTGGATACGTATTTGAAAAATGTTAAGGTATTCACTTGTGCGATAAATATTTCATTGGTAGATATGCTTTCAAACTTCCATCATAAAAAGGATATTCAGTAGGGATGTTCAATTTAAACTTGAAAACGCCGCCCTTGTAGTATCCTTTATGAATGAACAAAACGCCATACCAAACTATAAAAATACATCAGTATGAGTGAATAAATTCATATGCTCAAAGGCATAGTAAGAAATCAAAAAAAACCATGGTTCTTACTATAAAAATTGTCAGCAGAGGGCATAACATAAACACCACTTGGACAATGTCTCGGATTACGAAGGTTTGTGCTTTCAAAAACAGTTACATTTAGTGCCACTTTCATCAAACAACAATTATTGAAAACTAAAAATGGTACTAACAACTCGATCATTAAATCCATTTTTCGAAAACATTCATCTCTAAACTGTGGCTTAGGCTGGTTATCTTCCTCTGATCTATCACGTTCGTCACCTTTCTCACCATCGCGATTTGAGCTATTCAAAACTGAATCAGCTGAACGATAATACGAAGTTTTAGTCTGCATACTGAGATCAAGTCAAAGTTTGAATATGGTAATGCACTTTCTTTTCTAAAAATCTAAGACCTTCGATTTCATCAGTATTTGGAAGTATGATATTAATTCTGTATGCATGTCGTACAGCTATTACTGAACCAAAAAAAGGTCGTGCTCCATCACATGACATATAAAGGGCAGCAAGAGTTACATTTTTGATTAAATCTATAATGCAGAGAAACTATCAAAATAACAACCGTGACAAAATTTTTGTAAAATTCTGAATTGATATGGGAATTGCTACCGGCACAGCAAACACGTGACATAATTCCTAATTCTGCTACATTCTAACACTAACCTTAAATATAGTACCGGCCATGCTGTGTCGTTAAGGTTAGTGCTGGTCACTTGCTGTGTCGATAAGCACGTGTTTTGTTGTGTCGGTAGCAATTCCCATTGATATTACGGCAACCACCTGACAAAATTCGATGAATTTTTTTTTTATTTTGATTCTACAGTGCAGACAACCTAGTCCCGACAAATAATTTTGACTAACTTCAAAATGCTAATCCTTCATAAAAAACAAACAAAAAATCTTTTCATTAAGAATTAAAACCATGCAAGGCAATTTTATAATTAAAATAAGCAATTTAGTCACTTAAAATATACTACTGTATTACACTTTACACACTAAATTTGGCCGCTATATATGTTAAATCTGGCCACTCTATATATTAAATTGACCGTTAAATTAATAATTTGGTTATTTTATGTTAAAATTTCAAATTTGGCCGTATCATTTATATTTTAAATTTGGCCACTAAAAATTTTCATTTGTTGGGACTAGGTTGTTCGTGCTGTACAAACCTGTAAAATCAAAATAACAAAATTTTATAGAATCTAGTCGGGTGGTTGCTAAGATATCTTTATTCAAAGTTTTTGCTGCAG